GCACAGTTTTCCCTTGTGGGAGCTCCCAGCACTGAGCCCCCAACCCCAAGGCATTCCCTTAGCCTCTCCTGATTCACCTCCCCTCCGGCCCTGCTCAGCTTCTGGATTTGGGGAGCCACAGGGCGCCCTCTTCGGAAGTCAGCACCCAGCCTTCTGTTCATCAGCCCAGTCACCTCTTTTTTTTTTTTTTTTTAAGATTTTATTTTATTTGACAGAGAGAGATCACAAGTAGGCAGAGAGGCAGGCAGAGAGAGAGGAGGAAGCAGGTTCCCTGCCAAGCAGAGAGCCCCTTGCGGGGCTCGATCCCAGGACCCCGAGATCACGACCTGAGTCAAAGACAGAGGCTCAACCCATTGAGCCACCCAGGTGCCCCAGCTCAGTCACCTCCTGAAGATGCTTTCCAGGTTCCTGACTTTGCAGACCCCCCCCCCACCCGGGGCCTACCCCCAGGATTCGGACGCTGTGAGTGGCAGTCCAAACCCTAGGGGACCCGGGGCAAGAGCCAGGCAGGCTGGTCCCAAACTTGCAAGTGTTCTGAGCGGGGGGTGGGTGAAGGGTGAGGGGCCTCACCCCCCCCAGGTCTTCTGCACTGAAGTGGAGGGGCTGCCTTCACTCAGCCAACACGCCAGGCCCCCAGTTCTATCCCAGGGGAGATGCTGACCACCCTCTGGGAGATGGGGAGAGGCATGCTCTGCTGTCCTGACCCCAGCCTCCCCACTTCCCGGCATTCAGAGGCCTGGGGATGGGGTGGGGGTGGGGGGCTGACCCAACTCTCTAGGCTGTGCTCTAGTGATGAGAAGAAGGATCCAGATCGCTAGCTGTGCTAGCAGGTGCCAAGCACCTAGTGCATCCCAGGCCCTGTGCTAAGCGCTTTTCACCCAGCCTCTCACTTAACCTTGGCAATAAACCTCTGAGCTGGGCATTGACCCGCTCTCCAGATAAGGGTGATGGAGCTCAGATCTGAGAGCGGCCCGCATTCTGCTGCTCGGCTTCCCTGCCCTGATTCCTGGGGCTCCCCCAGCCTCCAGGGCCCTTTCTTCTCTTCTCCAGGGCCTCCCCCTGCCAGAAGCACTTGCTTCTCCTGACTCAGCCCAACCACCCAGAGGCCATCCCCCCCCACCCCGGTCTCCCTGGTGGTATGAGCCTGGCACTTGGGCTCAGCCCTACTCGTCAGCCTGTCGGTCCGGTGGTGCTGGGATCTTCCTTCCGCCTCCTCCATCCGCAGGGACTGCCCCGGCTGCTTCCTTCCCGCTGCGTCTCACAGGCACGCCTCATCGCTGGGCCACACCTGGGCCACCCTCAAGGCTCTCCCGTCGGTGTCTCCAGCCCAGACACCTCTGTGGACACCAGACCCATCTCCAGCAAGCTTCCAGACCCCCCTTACCTGCGCCGATGCCCCCCCCATGCCAATTCCCTTCCTCACGCATGTTAGCAATCACGCGACCCAATCCCGTCCTCTGCTCCAGTCCTGCCCCTGGGACCTGCCCTCTCCGGCCTCCAGCCTCCCAGATTCCCGGGACCAGCTCCCTGCAGCCCACCTCAGACCCGCCACCCACCCCAAGGCCAGGCCACCGTTGAACTTACGGATCTGCCCTGCCTGCAACTTCGTGGGGCTCGGAGCCCAGAGCCAGCATCTGGAACGTGGTTGTTCAGGGGCCCTGTTTGTAAAATGTTGTCAAGCACGTGTCCCCCAAGATACATTCACCGGCTTACCAATTCCAGACACGTCACCAGCCTTCAGGATGGCCTCCAAGTATTGTCAGCTCCCAGCACTCCTGCCCTGGGGCAGTGCTTTCCCACCCTGCGGTGGGGCTGGCCTGGGTTGGGGTGGGGATACAGCGGAAATAACAGAGGGAGCATCAGCTCCAAGGGCAAGGAACTGTGGCTTCCGTCGTGGGCTCCCGAATCCCTTGCTCTGGGGGTGGGGGGGCAGCCGCCACGTTGTCGGGAGGCCCAGGCCCTAAGGGGAGACCCGCATGGCGAGCTTGGCCGCCCTGGCCCACAGCCTCCACCAAGCGGCCACTGAGTCACCTGGCAGCAGGTTCCACAGCCCTGGTTGAAGTTGTGGAAGGAGAGGGGCCCTGGGGCAAGGATGACCTCTGGCCTCCAGCCTCCTGAGTCACCAGCCCCAGAGCCAAGCCAGCGGCTCCGCTCTATCCAGACTCTAGGCCAGCAGGAGCAGAGTGAGATGCTTCGGTTGCTGGCCTGCGAAGAGATCCCCCTGCTTCGACAAGTCACGGACGCGTGTCATCGCCGAGAGGAAGTCTGAAGACTAGGGGTATGAAGGCATATAAATGTCGTGCTAATGTTTGCTTCCCACACTCCCAGCAGAGGATCTTGGGACTCCCCTGGAATTCACCTTTCCCACGGGGAGACCACAGTGCTCCTGAATGGTGTTCCCAGATCCGCAGCCCGACATCCAAGGCTCTCTGGGCGGCCCCACTCCCCTACGTGCTGCTGTCACCCTCTCCCCGGGGTCACTTGCTCATAACCGCTGATGAAATCTGACCTGCTTCTCTAGGTGTAGAGGAGGGCGTCTGGGGGCGCAGTCGGTTAAGCAACCGCCTTTGGCTCAGGTCATGACCCAGGGTCCTAGGATCGAGCCCCATGTCAAGTTCTCTGCTCAGCCGGGAGTCTGCTTCTCCTTCTGCCCCTCCCCCGCTCATGCCTGTGCTCACTCTCTCTCTTTCAGAAATACATAAATAAAATCTTTACCAATAAATAAATAAATAAATAAATAAATAAATAAATGCACAGAGGAAGTCAGACCTGAAGCAAGAGAATGATTCCACGTCCTGTTGGCGACTTTGAAGATGGAGGGGCCACATGACAAGGAGCGTGGGTGGCCCGCAAGGGAGGAGGCCAGCCCCTGGCTCACAGCCAGCAAGGAAAGGGGACCTCAGTCCTACAGCTGCAAGGAACCGGGTTCTGTCAGCCACCTGAACACGCTAGAGGCATGTTCTCCTTTGCCTCCATTAACGAAACCAGTCCTGCCAGCCCCATGATCTCAGCTGTGTGAGATCGGAGCAGAGGACACAGAGGGACTGTGAGCTAATAAACGAGTGTTGTTTTAACCCCCCAAGTCTGTGCTCCTTAGTTACTCAGCAGCAGAGAATTAACACGCGAGGCCCTATATCCCTGAAGACCTTGTGTAATTTAAGTAAGATCCACACTCTCTTTTCTTCAAAGCAGGCTCTGCACCCAACGTGGGGCTCGAACCCTCAGATCAAGAGTCACGTGCTCTATGGACTGAGCCAGCCAGGAGCGCCCAAAATAGATATTATTAAAGGAATAAATGTAAGGGGTGGTGAATTCTCGGCATAAACACACCACCACTGTGGCAGAGTTTTCCTTTCTGGCTATTTTGTACTTTCTGCGGACTGTATCTCTGGTGTCTTGCAGGAGGCTGGCTTAAAAATCAGGGGCTTGGTCGGTCAGCGCATTGTGTGGTTTGGCTTTCTTCACACTGTGTTATCACCTCGCACTCCTGTTCTAACACTGTTTCTCTGGAACGCATTTGCCAGCACCGATCTGTGTGTCTGGCTCCCTGTCCGTCGGTTTGGGGATTGTGGTTATAGGTAAAAACCAGATTTCGGAAACATTGTATTCCAGGGTAACTTGCAAGCAGAGGGATGCACAAGTCCTAAGTGCACAGCTTTCCTCAGTTTCACCAATGGAACCCACCCATGCAACCGGGGTCCAGACAGAGAAGCAGAACATTTCCGTTACCCAGAAGCCCCCTCCAGCGGCCTCCCAGTCACTGCTTCCACAAGAGAAGCCACTATGGCGCCTGAAACATCAGAGGTCTGTTGGCTTGAATAAACCAGATTGCGACTGATGATATCAGAGAATGTCAAACTCACAGCCCCGTGGTCCCCAGGGGGACTGGTGACAGCCCCAGGCATGCAAACCACAGGGGGCTTTTCAGGACACAGATGAGGGTGCGCCCAGGCCTTTCGTATTTCATGCAAGGACCGTGTTCCCGAAGGTCTCATGTAACCTAAGACTCTCATGATAAAGTCTAGTTCTGTCCTCGAAGTGACTGTAACATCGGGTTTGCACACCTCTTGCTGTGGGGCCTAAAGCGAGACTAATTAACATCTTTAATATAGCCCAATTTCGAATTTAGCGTAATTTGAACCCGCATGCTCATCCCCGAATGCCCCGTGGGGCCGTAAGGGTCTGTACTTCAGCTTCCTGGGGACCCCAGGGCCCAGCCACGGTGATGGACGGGGTCTGGGTTCTTTGGGGCCAGAGCACAGGTCCTGGAGTCGGGACGCTTACCTTCCAGACCTCCCTCTGATCCTTCCTGGCACTTTATAACCCTGGGTAAGCTCTGACCTGCTGGGTCTGTTCCCTCATCAGCAAACGGGACTGCACTCTGGGGTTCATGAGAGGAGTTCACGGGTGAGAAGCCCGGGCATACAGTAGGAGCCAATGGGAGCATGTTGGCACAAGTCCCAGCTGGGGCGGGAAAACCTGCTCTCCTGCCTCTCCCCCCACCACCCCCATACTGTCTGGAGGACTTCGCTCCCTGGGAGAGTGAAGCCAGTGAGTTCCAAACCAGAGAGCCTGGCCGCTGGGCCTCCACGGGAGGCTGGGGCCCAGGCTCGGATACCAGGGTCAGAGCCCGGATTGGGCAAAAGCAGAGTATGGGGCTCCCTGATCCTGGCCAGGGATATTTGGAAACACCGACAATTCTGGGAAATGTAGCAGCAGGAAGTGAAAGGAGGGAGGGGCTGAAGGAAATGACGGGGTGCACCCCTGGCCGGGCTCCCCATCCCAAACCCTGCAGAAATTAGTGACGTGACTGGCAGGGGCGTGAGGGGGAGGGGGACAGATCAGGAGAGTCCCTCTCCCTGGGGAGGAGAGCAGGGGTGACCCATCCCCCACTCCCATTCCACACATCTCCAGAGTTCCAAATCCCTTTCCCCCTCTGTTTACTGTCCAAAGTCCCGGGCACTGGGGATGCCAGGTTCTGAGTGTTGGGACACATAGACACGCAGACACGCAGCGCTCGGGGCCCTCATATGGACCCTGCTCCGTCCCCTCCCATCGTCCAGGGCTGTCCGGGCACCCCAAGGCTCCAGGCTCTAGCTCCCTTCTTAGCCTAGGACCTGCACAACCGGGAGCCAACCTCAAGACTGTCAGCAAGTAAAAGGGGAAGAAAGTCAGGGGGACCTCAGAGTGGGGCGGGGGGTGCCGGGTGGGAAGACTTCAGAGGATCAAGTTCAGATGTCAGGCCTGGGAGGGGACTGGAGAAAGTTTTCCTAGAGCCACCGATCATTTAGAAGCAGACTGGACGCCTCAGGCCGGCTCCATTCGGCTCCAGCCCCAGCCCTAACCCCCGCCTTGTCCTGGGCCCAGGTCCAGTCAGCCCTACCATGACAAATGACTATCAAGATCTTCAGCATCTGGACAGTGAGGACAATGACCATCAGCTCCGACAAGGTAAGGGGACGCCTCCTTCCGGTTCTGAAAGGTGAGCGTCAGGTGGCCTTGGCCCCTTTGCCTCGGCTCCCGCTTCCTTCGGGGACCCCGGACCCTGTCTCTGGGTGTGCCCCACTCACCAGAAGCCGGTCTGAGCCACCCTTCTTGGGGTGGGGGTGTCAGCTGTGGGGCTGGAGTCCCTTTCTCGGTGACGGGACTCCCTCCAGAGGCCTCCGGAGCCTCGCCGTGTCACCCACAGCCCAGGGGCGTGGGGGCGGGGGTGCAGATCCAGAGGTCCAGGAGTAACGGGGGGACCTCAGGTCCCCCCTTCTTCCTTCTAACACCTGGAGAGCGTGTGTGAGGGGGAGTGCCGGGGTCCCCGGGACCATGGGTCCAGGGGTCAGACTTCTGTGAGGAGGCTGTGGGACCAAGTACCCAAGGAGGGTGAGGCCCCCGGCCAACAAAGACACCCCCTTATTTCTCCTGTCGGCAGGGATGCCCTTTGGGCTGAGCAGGAGGGTCCTTGGGGATGGGTGTGGGGAAAGGCTGCCGGGGTCCTCTGCTTGGGGGACTCTGGTTACTCCGTCTTCTCTCCCTGCGCGCAGCCAGAGGAGTGGGGTTCGTGGGGAGAGGAATAAACCTCCTCCTTATTCCCAGCCTTCCCCGGCTGGGGGCGCGGCCAGGGACCCCAGCCAGGAGCTCCTCCTGCTTCTCCAGCTGGAACCTGTTGGCGGGGCCGGGGTTCATCGGCGTCAGTGACACAGTTCGGCCACTAGGTGTCAGCAAAGGCTCAGGGCCCCGGCGGGCTGAGGCAGGACCAGGCTGGGTGCCCCCTCATCCTGCGGCCTCTGGCCCCTCAGGTCCCGGACCACCCAGATTTTTCTTTCTTTATTTCCTTTTTTTTTTTTTAAGATTTTATGTATTTATTTGACACACAGAGAGAGATCACAAGTAGGCAGAGAGGCAGGCAGAGAGAGAGGAGGAAGCAGGCTCCCTGCTGAGCAGAGAGCCCGATGCGGGGCTCGATCCCAGGACCCCGAGATAATGACCTGAGCCGAAGGCAGAGACTTTAACCCACTGAGCCAACCAGGGGCCCCCGACCCAGGTTTCTTAATCCATACGCTTCCTTGGAGCCCCGGAGAGGAGCCTTAGCCCGCTCTGCTCCTGCGACCCCAGAGCGGCCCAGGTGTCCCTGCTGCCCTCTCTTGCTAGTGCCACAGCCCCCGCAGCCGCTGTTCCGGAGGTTCTGCTCGGGACCCTGCCTCCTCCTGCTCTCCCTGGGCCTCGGCCTCCTGCTGCTGGTGGTCGTCTGTGTCATCGGATCCCAGAGTGGGTGCCCGGGCAGGGGGCCGAGGGTGAACGGGGGGTGACAGAGGTGGGAGAGGGCGGGCTTCTGTGCTGGGGGGAGCGGGCCCCTCATTTTGGCCTCTGCACACCCTCTCCCGCCCAGACTCCAAGCTGCGGGGAGAGTTGCAGGCCCTGAGAGAGACTTTCAGCAACTTCACAGCGACCACGGAGGTCGAGGTCAAGGCCTTGAACAGCCAGGGTGAGGGGGCGGGGGCTGGGGCTGGGGGGCGGGCGGTGGGCGCTAGGGACGCGGGGGCGCTGAGCAGGTGTCTCCCCAGGAGGAAATGTGGGCAGGAAGATGAAGTCGCTCGAGTCCCAGCTGGAGAAGCAGCAGCAGGATCTGAGCGAAGGTCAGACACGAGCATGTGGGACTCGGGGTCCCTCGGGCCCACGCCGGGGTCTCGCGGCGCGCGCGTGAGCGACGTCGCGACCCCCGCCCTCGCTCCCCCCAGATCACTCGGGCCTCCTGTTCCACGTGAAGCAGTTCGTGTCGGACCTGCGCACCCTGAGCTGTCAGATGGCGGTCCTGCAGGGCAACGGTGAGGAGCGCGCGGGGGTGCCGGCGCGCTCGGCCGTCCCCCTCCCCGCGGGCCGCGCCTCAGCGCCTCCCCCCTCCCCTGCTCCCCAGGCTCGGCGAGGACCTGCTGCCCCGTCAACTGGCTGGAGTACGAGGGCAGCTGCTACTGGTTCTCCCGCTCCGGGAAGCCCTGGCCGGACGCGGACCGGTACTGCCAGCTGGAGAGCGCGCACTTGGTGGTCGTCAACTCCCGGGAGGAGCAGGTGAGCCGCCCGGGGCTCGCGCTCAGGGTGGGGGTGGGGTCCGGGGAGGGCTCACCGCCCCTCCCCCTCCGCAGAAGTTTGTCCAGCACCACATGGGGCCCGTGAACACCTGGATGGGCCTCACGGACCAGAGCGGGCTCTGGAAGTGGGTGGACGGGACGGACTACGAGACTGGCTTCAAGTGAGTGTGCGCGCCCCCGGGCTCCGCGCGTCCCCGGGGCTCGGCTGGAGGGGGCCGGGGCAGGAGGGAGGCGGGGGGGCGGGGGGCGCACAGTAGCTCGTCTCGGCAGGAACTGGAGGCCGGAGCAGCCGGACGACTGGTACGGGCACGGGCTCGGGGGAGGCGAGGACTGCGCGCACTTCACCGACGACGGCCGCTGGAACGACGACGTGTGCCAGAGGCCCTACCGCTGGGTGTGCGAGACGCCGCGCGAGCCGGCCAGCTAGGAGACACCCCTCCCCTAATTTATTTCCTCGATGCCTCTGCCGGCCGCGTGACCCTCCGGTGCCGGGGGCCTCCTCCACTGCCTGGTGGGGGGGGGCGATCTAGGGTTGCAAGGGAAGGGGAAAGGCGACTTCCGAGGAGCATACAGTCACCTTTGGAGGGGCGGGGAGATGGAAACCCTGTCACCAGCGGCAGCCTGCTGGGTATGGCCAACCTTTTTTAGAGTAAAAAGAACAGAAGTATTCTAAACGCGCCCTGAGTCGTCTGGTTATTCGGCGTTGGGAATCGGGAGTGGGCTGGTGGGTGGGAAGCCTGGGGCAGGCCGCGGGGTCTGGTGGGAACCCCTTGGGCTTTGGTGCTTACAGGTGTGGGAGGTAGGGCTCCTGTTCGGAGTCTCCCCCTGTAAAGGTGACCCGTTGCTGGGGACCGCTGCACTTGTAGCAGTCCCCCAGGACCAGAATCCCACCCCCAACCCCCGCCCCCGATGTATCCACCGCTTCAAGGGCTTTGAATGAAACTCATTGGTGTGTGCTGCGTGCATTTCAGTGGACAGAGGCAGTGTCCACAGACAGGCGACAAACACAGTGCAGGCAAAGATGAAGTCCAAAACTTCAAAGAAAGCCAGAAAACCAGGAGGGTGGCTGACAGGCTCCCCAAATAAGCAGAATCCACAGCCCAGGACGGGAGTTCCCGGAAACCTACAAGGGCAGAGGCGGGGTGATCAGCAAACATGAAACAGATGCAAAAGTAGAGACAAGAAGATCTATCGGAATATAGACAGCTCACCATCTTTCCAGATCGTTTTGAGTGTAAGAGAATATAAAAATGAAACCGTCAGGCACTTGAGAAATGAACAAGGAGAGCACTGCGTGCATGGGACGGTGTAAGGTGGTTCTCAGGAGGAAAGCTGTACAGACAGAAGCACGTTTGTTAAAAAAAAAAAAAAGGTTGAATGGAAATAAGCTCAGTTTCAACTCCAGGGACTCGAAAAAGAGTAAAGCCCCTCAGAATGGAAGGCAGGGATTTACTAACAAATCATCAACCATAGGGTATGTATTCTACTCAAGAGCTTGGAACATTTCGAAAAAAAAAAAAAAATTGAGCCAATACTGGCCCATCAAGGAGCTTTCACAAATTTCACATAGAGAATTTCTACTATAATGACCAGAGAGGTAAGATTCCTATCTACATGACTAGCAAACCCCACAAATGATATGGTAAAAAGATAACATGCTGGGGTGCCTGGGTGGCTCAGTCGGTTAAGCATCCTGCTCTGGATTTCAGCTCAGATCATGAACTTGGGGTCATGAGATCAAGCCCAGAATCAGGCTCTTTGCTCAGTGGGGAGTCTGCTTGAGATTCTCTCTCCTTCCCTCCTGCCCCTCTCAAATAAATAATTAGGAGCGCCTGCATGGATCAGTTTGTTAAGTGTCTGCCTTCCACTAAGGTCTCGATCCCGGGGTTCTGGGATCGAGCCCCACATCAGGCTGCCTGCTCAGCAGAGAACCTGCTTCTCCCTCTCTCTGCCTGCTGCGCTCCCTGCTTGTGCTCTCTCTCTCTTAGACAAATAAATAAAATCTCAAAAAAATAAATCTTAAAACAAAAGATAACATGTTTCTCAAAGAAAGACAAATACCAAATGATTTCACTCCCATGTAGAATTTAGAAATGGAACAAACGAGCAAAGGGGGAAAAAGAGAGAGAGACAAACCGAGAACCAGACTCTGAACTTCCGAGAAGAAACTGAGGGCAACGAGGGGGTGACAGGGGTGGGTGAAACAGGTGATGGGTATTAAGGAGGGTGCTTGTGACGTATGGAGGCGATAAATCACGGAATTCTGCCCCCGAGACCAATACTGCACTGTATGTTAACCAGTTGGAATTTAAATAAAAACTTGCGGAGGCAAAAAAAGAATTCAAAGATGGTTTAACATCAGAAAAACCTATTAATAAAATAGACTTAGGGAGTACAGAAGACCCAGGGAGTACAAAAGGGAAAGTCACATAATGTGGAAAAAGCATTCGGCAACCTTTTTTAGGACTTTCTGTTGATCTACAATCTCGCTATATAGTTTCCATCAGTCTTCCAAGATATCTGCCTCGCTCCAGCCATGACGCCTTTTAGGCAAGAGAAGGGAGCAAAAGGGCAGAGAAAAGGACCTCTCTGTGAGGACACTTCTGGAAGCCGTGTGCACTTCCACTTATATCTCTTTCACAGGGACTGGTCCCAGGGCAACAGCCCCAAATGGGGCTGAGAAGTGGACTCTATATTCTAGGGGGTCTGCTTTCAGGTAAAAGCAAGGGGATTGGGGCACCTGGGTGGCTCAGTGGGTTAGGTTTCTGCCTTTGGCTCAGGTCATGATCCCAGGGTCTTGGGATCGAGCCCCACATCGGGCTTCTGCTCAGCAGGGAGACTGCTTCCCCCTCTCTATCTGCCTGCCTCTCTGCCTACTTGTGATCTCTGTCTGTCAAATAAATAAATAAAATCTTAAAAAAAAAAGCAAGGAGATTTTATCGATGTGGAGCAGAAGTCTGCAAATCCTGGCCCTCACCTGTTTTTGTAAATTAAGTTTTTTTTTTTTTAATTTGACAGAGAGAGTGGGAATCATTTCTGGATGTATATGTGTATGAAATCACCCCACTGCATGCTTAAAAAACACACTGTACCACCAAAACATAAATAATTTCTGTTTGTCGATCATACCTCAATAAAGTTGGAAAAAAAATCACAAAAGTATATTTCATGGAAAAAACCAATAGTGACTACACGTATGCACAGCAGTGTGGAGAGCCCTCACATCAGCACTGAATGGAAAAAAGCAAAAAGCCAGAATGCTGTCTAGAGCACAATCGCATCAATAAAAAGCAACAACAGCCCACACGGTCCCAACAGCGCTACATGATTTTCAAGGATCCTTACGTGTTCAAGGACACGTGAACCCATTCGAGTGTTTGCTTGAAGAAGGGAGGAGAAAAGGAGGTGCAACCAGAGCGAAGGAAAGTGTACAGGGGACAGTGGGGACAGTGTACAGACTGGAGCTGAGTGGCGCTTAGGTGAGGGCTGGAAGCTGCAACCTCGCCTCTGGTCCAGAAGGAAAAGTGTGTAAGGCCCTCGCAGCCTCCATGCCACCAGGATCCTTAATGCAGACAGATGAGAACAATCCCCTGGTGCCAGGACCTAGACCATTTGGGCTACTTAGGGAGGTGGATTCAGAGTGAGTAATGACAATAAAAGTATTAGAAAGGAGAAGGTCAGTTTCTAAAAAAAAATTGCAGACACAAGGCATCTCCCATTGTGAGGCCGTGGGGGCCACCCAGCATCATCTGTGAAGTGCTCTTCTCAGGGATCCTTGAACCTGAAGCGTATTGAACTTCTAGCACCATCTATGGGTTTAGGGGACATTCTGCGGGGCAGGGAACGCACACACAGGCGTGCGTTCCTTCAAATCCAGAAAGTGGAAGATTTTATCACATGCATGTCTGGTTTCTTCCACAAATAAATGAGCAGGAAAACAGACAAACGAGGTGGGGTGGGGGAGAATTTTTCTAGATTAAAAGGACCTTAAGAGACATACTTCGTACATGCAAAGCGGGGAATTTGAATCCTGATTTGAACAAGCCAATTGTAAAAAGACTTTCTGGGAAAGTCTGGTGAACTTGCACTACTAATAGATAAGGCATTATTGTCAATGATTTCTGGTCTGATAATAGTATTGGGGTTAATTAAGAACAGGAGGCTCTATTTTAGAAATCCCTATGTCAAAAGACTTCTGGGTAAAATGGTGCGTCTGGGATTTGCTCTGAGCTACATGAGCAGGCCGCAGGGTGGGGAGGTGGGGAGGGGACAGAAGACATGTCTGGCCACACGCTGGTGATTGCTGAGGCCAGCGGCACCTACGTGGGTGTTTGTCATACGAATCTCTCCACTTTTGGACCTACTTTGTTCACTAGAGAGGAATCAAAAATGGCAGGGCCTAAAGATAGGACTTACCTGGAAAATAGGACATAATAGATTTGTCGTAAGTGCCGTATGGGGGCAATCAGGTTTTGTTTCTACAGAAAAGAGGGACAGATTTGGGGGTGCCTGGCTGGCTCAGTGGGTGGAGCATGGGACTCTTAATCTCGTGGTTGGGAGTTCAAGCCCCATGTTGGGTGTAGAGAAGACCTAAAAATAAAGTCTTGAGGGCGCCTGGGTGGCTCAGTGGGTTAAGCCTCTGCCTTCTTCTCAGGTCATGACCTCAGGACCTCAGGGTCCTGGGATGGATCCCTGCATCAGGCTCTCTGCTCAGCAGGGAGCCTGCTTCCCCCTCCCCCCCTGCTGGCCTCTCTGCCTACTTGTGATCTCTCTGTCTGTCAAATAAGTAAATAAATAAAAATCTTAAAAAAAATTTAAGTATTAAAAAAAAAAAAAAGAGGGCAGGGGTCCCTGGGTGGCTCAGTCGGTTGAGCAATGGGACTGTTGGTTTCCACTCAGGTGTTGATCTCAGGGTGTTGGGACGGAGCCTCCTTTGGCCTCGGGGCTTAGGCTGGGGGGGTCTTCTTGAGATTCTCTCCCTCTGCCTCTGCCCCCACTGGCGCTTGCTCTCTCTCTAAAACAAACAAATAAATCTTAAGAAAAGAAAGAGCTTGACTTCATTAAAGTTAGAAACAAGCAGAAGACTTGGATGCAATATTTGCAACATTTATAACAAGTAATTAACATCCAGAATATAAAGATCTCCACAAAATAACAAGAAAAAAAACAATGCAACAGTGAAAGAGGATATTATAGTAAATATTTGTCCTCTCTGTCTTAGGGAGTCCATCGCGTGCAAACTTGGGGTGTAAGTAGCGAGAGGGGCCGCATCCTCCCTCTCCGCCCCCCTCCTTGTAGCTGGCGGTGGGTGTGGCCTGAGCCTTACAGCAGAGTGGAGGCTGCAGAGGGGTGTGTGTGGGGGGTGACAGCTGGAGCGCCCAGGCGAGCATCATGCTTTTAAGGTCTTCAAGGAACGAAGCTGAAAAGATTCAACCTGCAACATAATATATACAATGTAATCCCATCTACGGCGCTTCCCCCTCAAAACCTCCCACGAGTGCTATATATTTCCTTAACTCGCACGCAGAGATGGTTGCTTTCTCCAGTGTGTTCAGCCTCTTCTCTCCCCTCCTTGCAGCTTCTCCGCGTTCGAAGACTTTCCCATCC